ACTACTAAATTTATGGTGATTTGTGGTGATTTGTTATGACAGAAGTAGGAAACTAACAATTTTCCTACACTATGTATACTATACTATGTACCTTAGATAGCTACATTAGGTATATTCTATAATTTACCCATTTTTTTTATTTATACAAGAACTGGGGTACAGGCCAGAAGTGTGGGAGGGTGAGAGGATTCACCAGAGACAGAGTGGGGAGCAGAATAGGCAGACAGACCAAAGACACTGCTGAGGGTAGCAGCAAACAAGAAAGGAGAGGTCTGCTGCATCATGTAGGTATTTCCCTGGCCGGGAATCGAACCCATGCTGTGGAGGCTGTGGACAGCTTCACAGTGCGTTGCTCATCCTGCTGCACCACCGGGGAGTCCCTAATTTATCCATTCTTTTGCTCGACATTTGGGTTTCCAGTATTTGACGTTTTGGAGAGTGTGACTATGAACATTCTCGTAAATGTTCCTTAGAAAAAGAGTTGCTGATTTACAGGTGTACAGATCTTCACCTTCATTTTATAATACACTACAGAACTATTTTCCAAAGCACACTTCTACCATCAGTGTGTGTGTGTGTTCAATTTTTTTATTTTTAAATTATTTCTTCCTTGTATTCACTATAATGCTTCCTTCTTTTATGTAGGTGGATACTCAAAATTTGCTTCAAGTCAAAACACATTTGGGAGTTAATTTATAATTCCCTTAACATAGCAGTAGTAGGCGGCATTGGTTTATTTTTACTCCTTTTTTGATCAACTAATTTTTCTATTAACTTTAAAAGCAAAATTATAACAAATCAAATACTATAATTTAATTTGTGATCATAGTTGTAATTTCTCTTACAGCATTTTTAAGATTTACTAAATTATGCATACAAGAACTGGGGTGCAGGTGTGCGCCACTAGGCCCTTCTTCCAGCGTTTTTATATGAATAAGTAGTTGTATAATAGTAGTAGTTGCAGGCGTCCGTGCAAACATAATAATTTTCTTTCATCAACAGCTTGTTTCAGACTGTTATTTCTGGGAATATGATTATTTCTATTGATTAAGAAGCATGCAAAATGAAATTCTGAGAAGTTACTACCATTTATTGAGCATAGACAGTGTGTCAAAGTGACCAATAAATACTTACATATGTTTTATCATTTTTAATCCTTAGATACCCTTGTTATCCCTTTTTTTTTTTTAAAGATTTTTTTTTATACAAGAACCGGGGTACAGGCCAGAGTCATGGGAGGGTGAAAGGATTCACCAGAGACAAAGCAGGGAGCAGAACAGGAAGACAGACTAAAAGCACTGCTGAGGGGAGCAGCAGGTGCTAGAGGTGAGATCTGCCTCGACATGTGGGAATCTCTGGCCGGCCGGGAATCGAACCGGCACCGCAGGGGATGCGGACAGCTTCACAGTGCTGCGCTCAACCTGCTGCGCCTCTGGGGAGGCCCTGTTATCCCTTTTTTGTATTAATAGATAATGAGTTGATTCAGAGAGAGTAATGTAATGTGCTGGTCTTTTTCTTTTTTTTTTTTCTTAATGACCTAACACAGTTCACATCATTTTATTCACATTTGAACTTCACTGGAGTCTGGGGATAGAGTCATCTTTTGTTTCAAGAATGAAGTCTTCAGGTATTGTCTCAGGTGCTACGTGAATTAACTGGTCATCATGAAAACGTAGGGTTCATAATTTCTCTAATTCATAGGGTTCTCTGGTTTCTGGAGACATCAAATGAATCACCACGCTGTCAAAACCCACGCAGAGCTAATCATCAGTCTCCTTCCTTTTGATTTTAGCATGAGTTTCACTTCTACATTTCAGGTATTTGTATGTCACCAGTTTATCTCAAAGGATACATCTATATATATAATTCAGGAACAGGAAGATGGAAGAGATGGATAGGGCAAGGTACAGGGGAAAAGCACAGAACTTCTGTGTCCTCACCAGGCACCTCTGTTCACCCTATATCTGGTGGTGGCACAAGGAGTTAATTCTCAGTGCTATAAAGCTATCAGCAGCTACTGCAGCATGAGTTCGATCCCTAGCCCAAGTTTTTAACCCACATGGCACAGCTGACCTCTCCTGTCTTGCCCACTGCTCAGCAGTATATATCAGTAGATCTACCTGTGCTGCTCTCCACTCTGTCTCTGGTGAATCCTCTCACTCTCCGCGCCTCTGGCCTACACCCCAGCTTGTATGCATAAAATAAATCTTTAAAAAAAAAGTGCCCATAACTTAAATAAGTTGGTTGAGTGTACATATTTTCATAGAAAAGAACAGTCTTTTGGCCTCCCCACTCCGCTCCATTTCACACTCTGCAGAAGTGCTCACTTTTTTTTAAAAAAGATTTATTTATTTATTTATACAAGCACTGGGTACAGTCAGTACGCGGGAGGGTGAGAGAATTCACCAGAGCCAGAGCGGGGAGCAGAGCAGGCAGAAGGACCGAGGGGGATCGAACCGGTGCTGCAGAAGCTGCGGGCAGCTTCACAACCCAGCTCTCAACCGCTGCGCCACCAGGGAGGCCCAGAAGTACTCACTTTTAATACTCTTTGCTATTTCTTTTGGTGTTTACTTTCATATTCCAAATTAACTTGTGTATATTGCTACTGATAAATTTTTATTTTTATTAATTTTTTTAAAGATTTATTTATTTATTTATACAAGCACTGGGTACAATCAGAAGCACCGGAGGGTGAGAGAATTCACTAGAGCCAGAGAGGGGAACAGAACAGGCAGACTGACGAAAAAATACACTGCTGAGGGGAGCAGCGGGCGCGGCAGGAGAAGTCTGTCGTGCCATGTGGGACCCTTGCAGGTGGCCGGGGATCGAACCAGTGCTGCAGAGGCTGCAGACAGCTTTGCAGCCCAGCGCTCAACCGCTGCGCCACCAAGGGAGGCCCACTGATAAAGTTTTAAATTTTAGTTATTGTCTGTTGGCTGTCCACTGTGGAAGATGAGGGTGTAACTTTTTCTCTGCCTATTTCTACGTTTTTTTTCCAAGAATGTAATAATTTAATTCTGTTTAGGGCAATTTTGAGGTTTTTTTAATGACTGTAAATGCTTTTCTTATCTAAGCCATGAAATTTATTATTTTTATTATTTTTATTTTTCTTTGAAAAAATTTTTTTATATTAAAGATTTATTTATTTATTTATGCATACAAGAGCTGGCGTACAGGCCAGAGATGGTGGGGGGTGAGAGGATTCACCAGAGACAAGAGTGGGAAACAGAACAGGCAGATTGACCAAAGTACACTGCTGAGGGGAGCAGCAGGCGAGTCAGAGAGGTCTGCTGCGCCATGTGGGTATCTCCCTGGCTGGCTGGGGGATCGAACTCATGCTGCAGAGGCTGCAAATTGCTGCGAAGTGCAGTGCTTAACTAACTCCTTGTGCCACCAGGGAGGCCCCATTTATTTATTTTTTTACATCATTGTTCCTTTTTGTGCAATATTTGATTTCCCCTCAGATGCTTTTTTTGCTTTCCTTTTTTTTTTTTTAAATTTTTTACGTCCTTGTTCATTTTTAAACAATATTTGCTTTCCCCCACCCCCTCAGGTGTAGAATTTCCTTCAACCATAGAATTTCCTTCATCAATGCACCCATGTACCATCACCACAGTCCCCTCTTAAGCCAAGAAATTTATATCTGTATCTATATAGGAGTGGATATGCCTTTTCTTTTTTACACTAGTTTTTATTTTTTCTGAAATTATAACTAATGTGTGTGCATGTTGGTTTGTTTCCTAATCTCTAAATTCAATCCGAAGATTTCTATCACTTGTATAAATCTACTCTTATGTATTCACGTTCATTTAAGTATTCTATCAATGTCATCATCTTTGAGAAATTTATCCTAGTATCTTCTAACCTGTAGTCTGGAAGACTATTCAAATGGTCTGTTTGCCCAAATGTATAGCTTTCCACTTGAAATTTTCTTCTACCATTATTTAGGGTATTTCTTTCATCTCTTGTATTGATTTAGTAGGTTTCTTACTTGTATTCTTGTTTTGATGGAACATACTCTCTATTAGCATTCTGAGAAAGAATATAGAAAATAAAAATTTAAAGACGATACATGTCTGAAAATATGTTTACCTTCATGCTTGAGTGAGATTTTGGCTGAGAACAGAATTCTAGATTGGAATCAATTTTCCCTCAGAATGTTTAAGATGCTGTCTTGCTGTTTTCTCACATCAAGTCTTGCTGTTGAGAAGCCTGCCATCATCCTGACTTTTTTGTATGAAATCTTTTTTTCTTTCTCTCTCAAATCTTAGGTGGTCTTCTCTATGTTCCTGAATCTGAAAGTCTCTGAGGTGTTTTGGTATGGGTCTCTTATACTGGGTAGTTGTTACACCTAAGCAATCAGAAAACTGGATATTTGAAATTAGGAAAATTTCTTGAGTTACTTTGATGATTTCTTTACTTATATTTACTTTTTCTGTAATTTTATTTAAATTGAGGT